ACTGCGGCCGAACCCGAGGTCACAGGACAATATAAATTGCATATTCGGACTCAGCATTGAATGGGCTTTCATTTCCAATCAACAAATCAAAAATGCCAGCTTAGGAGAATTTGGACCATATCCTTTAAAATTGGGCTCATGTTGGGCTGTGTTTGCAATAAATGAAACTTGATGAAATAGACCCTTTTATATTACTCAGTTTATTAATAATCTTTATTCACACTACTTTAGCATCAAAAAATAATTCACTGATTCATTTCAAATAGTTATAAAGATTTTTATAATCTACTAATATTTACTAAAAAATGCATACAACTATTTAAATAAAAATATGTAACACAAGTTTAATCCTTAAGATTTTGATTGATTTTAAAAAAAGTATTTAATATATTCATTATATTAATTATATTAAGAAATTCATTCAAATGAATCAGTGAATTATTTTTGATGCAAAAGTAGTGTGAATAAAGATTATTAATAAACTGAGTAATATAAAAGGGTCCATTCATTAAGTTTCATTTAATGCGTGCAGCAAACACAGCCCAATTTGAAAGTTGGTAATCAAAACTCATTTCCCTTTCCGTCTGTCAGCCCTGGCTTTCGCAAGATTTTTCTTATATTCCCGAAACTCTTTGACGGCATCTTTGTTCTGATTCAACGCCAACACCTTACCCCCGCCCACCCCTTGACCCCCATTATTAGAAAATATCATCTTATTAGTCCGACTCGTGTTTACATTCATATGGGTTACAATTCTTCTGCCATTACCTGCACCATACAGTTCACAATATTTATTACAACCAAAGTACAAAACAATTTTTAAATAATCTAGTTTGTTATAAAACACATTTTGTTGCCTAACCTTTGTTGTTATTATCACCTTTGTTGCCGTTTTCATCTTTTTCATCTTGGGCCATAATTATGATTGATGCCATATATAACTGCAATAATATGTGGATTAAAATTAGTATCAAATCAATCTTCATATCGATTGCTTCATAAAGTGTTTTGATTACTCCACTCAAATTGAATCAAATTTGCAGTGATTTTAACCAAATGACCATGATGTACTATGTTTATATATGTCGTGCATTTTTAGCTAATTATTTGCTAATTAATTGCTAATTATTTGGTATTTGCAAATGAATTGAATGCTTTTCATAATTTCCAGGTTCTTGTTTTGATTTATATTAATAATTCTAAACAAATCTGTTGCAAAACAAATTCATTATCTAATTAATCCATTGTTCATATCGTTTTTACGTAATATACTTTTTCTGGGATTTGTTTGCTCAATTATTAGCTGAATTTTATTTGTCACAAATTAGTGCTGTTGTTACTAGAATAGTATATAAATTAGCAATTATTATACAAAACTATATTATACAATTATATAAATATAATGTTCTATCAAATCAATTTTAAGATAATATATTGTTTCGATGAATAATTTTTATTAAAATGTGTAAATACCATTTATACCATTTATATGTAAATACCATGGTATATTATATCATTTATAATGGGTTTCTTTCTTATATTTACTTATTTATATTATATTGTTATAACTTAAAACAAATCTTATGATCACTTTTGTAATATTCGTATTGGTGTTTACATTTAGTTGAAAACACTAATTATTAAAATTTCGGACCATTTCTAAAATAACAAAATTCAGGATGCCTCACATGTAATCAGGAGGACCCGGGTTCAAGTCCCGGGCGCGACCTTTTAATACAATTTGTCTTTTCAATGATTTCTAATACTTTCCCACATTTATCTGATATTAAAAATAAGTTATTGAAAAAAACATCTCAAAAATTCGGATTATTTATGTTTTAATGAAATATTAATTATTATTCTTCGAGATATATGTATATTTATAATTTATATAATTTGATAACAATTATAAAATTCAAATTCATTTACTAAAACTCATATGAAAATAATATTAAAATATAAAATAATAATACTGTAATAATAAACAAAACAAAAATCATAACATATATATATATAGTACTTTCTAAACCTATTTATAATATTATTTAAATTAAAAGTCATCCAGTTCAGCCACTTTGACGACTTTCTCTCTGTTTTTGCTTTTGATCTTTGAACTCTTGGACAGCATTTTTGTTAGCAGTCAGCTGTAAGACTCGACCCCCGCCCTGACCACCATTACCCCTGCCACCCCTGCCACCAGTTGCACGAGGGGCTCCAGTAGGAAATACGATCACATTAGCGTTACCTTTCTTCGTTACCGTTAAAATAATTTTACCACTATTGCCAGTATTGTCATTACCTCCCGGCTCATCTAGTATTAATAGACAATATAATTAATTAAAAAGAATTAATTCAAACTAAATCTATCAGGAACAATATTATTTGAAATATGAACAATTAAATTTTCTTGGTTAACCTGTGGTTTCCTCAGTGGTTTCCTCAGGAGGAGGGGCCTCCGTCGCCATAAGTAATAGTGATGTCATCGATAACTGCAATAATATGTGGATTACTATTAATACGAAACCAATCTTCATGTCTAACGTGCAGATTATTGAATCAAATTTAAAGTTTTTTTTATTCAAATTATTTCATTTCTTGCTTATATATAATAAGCTATATGTAATTCTATATATAGTTAATATATGTCGTGCAGATTATCTAGTACACTTTATGATTCTATTTGTGCAATTTTTCAGTTACAATATTTTATGATTTTTGATAATTAATAGATTCTTGTTTTATTTTTTGTACGAATACTAAATAAAATCTGCTGAAAAACAAATTTATTAAGTAATTAACTGTTTTTACAGAATACATAGTATAAATATTTCTAGGATTTGTTTGCTTAATTATTAGCTGATATCTATGCAACAAGTGTACTTGTTTGATTGATATTGTTAGGATTTAAAGATAAATTAGAAAAGTTTGTTCATTTAACTCATAGTTTGGTTTCAATTTAGTTTATAATTCCAATATACAGTATTTAATAATTTTGAAAATAATTTTATTGATCATATCATTTATTTAATTCTTGATACAGTACTGTATACTTAAAATTTGTTATAAATCAAATGGCTTACTTTTTATTAAAAAAATTATTAAATTTAATATAAAATTTTAAAAACTATTCTCTATATTAATATATGCATAGAATAGTTTATTAAATATAAATTAAACACAATTTTACATTAAAAAAAATAATACTCAAACAATATAATTTGGATATAATAGATAAGATTAATGTACTTTAAATCGTAGACCATTTCCAAACTAATGTCAGCCCCTATTAACGGTTACGTCGGCAGTCTTCTTGACATTCATATTGACGTTAACATTGTATGTATTGCTTGGGGTTGTGGTCGTTGTGGCGGCTGTTGAGTGACTGTCTGTTTGGGCATAAATGTTGTTAATTATAATTGGGATCAAGAATTGATAATATATTCAAAACGATTGCTTACTTCCATTGTTTGATTGGAGACTTAATTCCTTGCTTTCATAGCACTGTAGTGACTGTCTGTTTGGGCATAAATGTTGTTAATTATAATTGGGATCAAGAATTGATAATATATTCAAAACGATTGCTTACTTCCATTGTTTGATTGGAGACTTAATTCCTTGCTTTCATAGCACTGAACCAAAATCATCGCAAGAATAGATACATTTAATAGTATTGTTTTTGACAACATTTTGCTTTTGAAACCTTTAATTATAGATGAATGATAAATCAAATTAAAGTCTACTCTATTTTATAACAGACTTACTTTGTACTCACAATACTATAAAACAATAAATATTAAAAATAAAAATAATTTATATGTCAAATACTCAAAGTTCTCGAGTCCTTAAGTAAACAACTATTTCATTACAAGTAATTTATTGGAAATGTTAATATTACTAATTAACTAAAATTAGTTTTAAGCCTATATTAAAATACTCAATTGAAATGAAAAATTAGACTAATATTTATAACTTAAATTAGTAATACAAACTTATCTAACTTAAGGCCAAGTTAATCTAATTTTATCGATCGCTGTTATTAATTTAAATTTTAAAACATTTACCGTTATAAATATGTAAAATTAGCAAAATAATTAAACTTATAAAATAAGACTTAATAAATGGTAATGATGTTGCACTAAATTTATAAATTTATAATAATGCTTAAAACTTAATCATTAAAATTTACATTATAACTTGTAAATAATCATATTGTTGAATAATTGTAAAAATATCTTTATTTATTAGTTATCATTATTTAAATAATATTTTATTTTAATTTATATTTTTAATAATTATAGAATAAATATATTTTATTTGTAAAAATTAACAACTAAACAATTTACAAAAATAAATAAATAATAAATACTTATAAAAACAAATTAAATTATATAAATAATTAATAATTCTTATTTCTATTAGTGATTCGCCTTTTGGATTGTGGCTGAGCTCTGGCATAACCATTTGATTTAGCCACTGGTTGATTTAGATTGATCACTTTATTGTTAGTTGTGTGGACATGAACGACCACTTCAACAGTATTAACATTTTCGTTGATAACATGATTATGAACCACTTGGGGCGGCGATTGTACGTATACTACTTTAGGTGCTCTGGCATGTTTCCCATTTTCTGTCAATACAGTATAATATTTAATATGAGAACAACTTTATAATAAGAAATTATTAGCATGGTTCTTACTTATAGGCCAAAGTGGCAACGATTTGCTCGATGAACTTTTAATCAAAATAGTTACTATGATTAATAAATAAATTAATGCAGAAAATGAAGGCATTTTTGGTGAAATAAAATCAACTTAGTTCAAATAAGTTTTTAACTTTGCTTAGAATATATTCAGCAAAAATAAATGTAATTAACTTTGAAATTATATAACTCTATTATATACTTTATATAAATACTAACGATCGTAAGTGATATCCTATTAATTGTATTGTAATGTATTTCACAATTATTTCGAAATTCTTATAACAATAAATTTATGATGTAATGTATAATACGATGAATGAATAAATAATGTATATGAATTCTGTTGCATTAATATATGCACAGAATTTAGGAAAATTATTCTTTCATTACGATATTTAATGGATTCTGGAAATTCAT